GGGCTCTCGTGTCTCTGAAAGACTCCTCCCCTGAGGTCCATGCAGTGAGAGCTGCCCTGGCCTTGCCAAGAGGCACGTCCCTGAGGAAAAGCTGTGACCCTAACTCCAGGCTTTTGGTACTTGTACTGCCAGCTCTCCCTGTTGACAAGCTTATCTTGTGAAAAAGCGAAAGCCACTCAGTCATGTCCAACTCTGTGACCCCATGTACTGTAACCCGCCAGGCTCCTCTGTCCATGGAATTCTCCAAGCAAGAATATTGGAGTGGGTATCCATTCCCTTCTTCTGGGGATCTTCCCAACCCAGGGATAGAATCTGGGTCTCCTGCATTGCAGGCAGATTCTTTACCATCAGAGCCACCACTTACCCTGAGACTTGTCTATCTTTGAAGATTATTGTTCAGTTAGCACCATTTGTTTTTTTAATTTTTATTTATTTATTTTTTGCACCATTTGTTTTTTAAAAACTCTTAAACTCAATGAGAGAAATGAAAACAGGTTATAGTTCCTTGCTAGTACTCCCTTAACTACTGTCCATTAGGTCCTTTCATGTCAGAGCTGCTTTGGGGAATGAGCAGCGTTTACACACTTAAGATCAAATCTGGAAGGGTTCTGTGAGTGGCCCTGGTGGCTCTAAACAGAGGGGCAGAACCCAGCTTCTGAGGGCTCAGACTTCCCTCTAGGGGTGACTGTGCATGTCCATGGTCTCCTCCGGAGCATTCAGTCCAGGGGATGGTTGTGCCCATGGTTGGGAAGTCACCCCCATAGACCCCTGTTGGTGCCCCTCACGAGGCTCTGGGAGGGACCCTTGTCAGTTTACTGGCTTTGCTTGGGTGGGATCTCTGCCTTCTCGATGCGGGTTCCAAGGGCAAGACATGGCCATGCTTGGCCCTGTGTTGGCTCCACCCAAGTCAGCCCTTGGCCAGTAAAGCCAGAGGGTCTGCCTGGGGTGGTGGGGATGGGAAAGGGGCTGGGGTCTCTGTACACTAAAGGAATGGCAGGGTGGAAGGCCTGCTGACTAGGGCAGAAGTGGGGCAGTGAGCCCCGTGTTTTGTCCATGTACTCAGGATACAGCAGGTGAGAGCTGAAAACTCAAGTCTGTACCCTGAAAACCTGCTTTTGCAGAAGTGGTGTTTTTTGTAACTTGCAATGCAAACCTAGGAAAATATAGTAAAATGTAATCCAAAGATAAAACAGCATTCAGTAGATGTTCAAATTTTCAGGGGAGAGAAAATGCCCGTTGTTGGGCAGAGCTGGGAATTGAGGCCAAGCTGTTGGTGGGGATCGATGGACGGCCCTGGGACACCTGTGGGCTCTGCCTGGTTCTGCTCTGGGCTGGGGCCTGGGGCTCTGTTGTTCCTGAGCACTCAGAGAGTTTAGGCCTATGGTCCTTTTAGCATCCAAGCAGTTTGTTAATTGAAAGTGAAAATTGGAAGTGTCAGTCGCTCAGTTGTATCCGACCGACTCTCTGGGATCCCATGGACTATAGCCCGCCAGGCTCCTGTGTCCATGGGATTCTCCAGGCAAGAATACTAGAGTGAGTTGCCAGGCCCTCCTCCAAGGGATCTTCCCAGCCCAGGGATCAAACCCAGGTCTCCCACATTGCAGGCGGATTCTTTACCATCTGAGTCACCACGGAAGCAGTGAAGGGTTTAATTTTGGTTTTCTATCCACAAGCAGGAATGGGGTTGAGGGTGGAGAGGATCCCGCCTCGGGCCCACAGCGACAAGTGTGGCCGAGGAGCGCCTATCTGATGTGGCCCAGCCTGTGAACAGAGTCATATGGGCCCACCTGGTGAGGTTTACACACCCCTCTGAGAGAGTCAATTCCTAGGCAGGTTGATAAGAAGTCCAGGGTGCCCAAGGAGGAGAAAGGGGTCTGGGGCTCTCAAGGAGGAGGAAAGGACAAACATTTTTATTCCTTAGTAAGGATTATATAACAATAATGTATCCTGCTTGAGGACATGTTTCTCCTTCCTGAAAATCTTCTGACTAATCCTGTTATCTTAAAATGTGTATATATAATGGGAGTGGGTCTAGTAAGATCTTTACAACTTGAGATATCCTTTTGATTTACTGTAATAACCAATTGAAAAGTATATAATTCCCTTGCTAAGACTGGGGATGGGGGCACTGTCCATCCTCCTTCTGATGTCTACGACAGAAGCGTTCTCTGTCCTTTTTCACTTTAATAAAACTCTGCTACACAAAAGCTCTTGAGAGATCAAGCTTATTCCCTGGTCCTGAAGCTAAATCTTCTTCTTATCACAAATCTGACACTGTTCACTGTAAGCTATCATCTCTCCTGAGGTAATTGTCAGCTGTAATTGTCAGGAAATCTAGGTTCACCTGACCCTCCCCAGACACATAGGAGGTGTCTTTCCTTTGGATGCCTCTCACCTGCTTCAAGTGCGTGGGTCCATGGGCACCCAGCAGACTGTAGAACATTCGCACCCCAGGAAGCCCCTGGCACCCACTGGCCCACTCCCTGTCTGTGGCTCTGCTTCTTTCTGACCCACGGTTGTACAACATGGGAACATAGGAGGCTTCTGCCTAATATCCGAGGTTTGTCTGGGTTGCAGTGAGTCTTTAGGTGTTCTTTTATAAGTGTAAATTCCAGCCCCCCCCCCCACCTTGACCTTAAATTTTTTTTCTTACCTTTGCCTTGGAGTCCTTTAGAATACAGAGCAGCTTCAAACTTGGTGTTCTGTGTGGGGCTCAAGTGTAGCTTCTTGGTCAAGTTGGTGGGGTCTTCCAGATTTTTTTCATTTTCTGCCAGAATCAGTTTTCACACCTGAGCTTCCTCTTCGGGGTCCTAGCATCAACTGAGCAGACTCTGGGGCTAAGCCCTCCAGCCTACTTGGAGCACCTTTGGGGAAAGATAAGTCATTTTCTTCTAAATGTAAGAATGGTCAACCTGAGATTAATGAATAGGGTGTCTGGGCCTGGTCACGGTGGGAGGTCGCCCAGAAAGGAGAGGCTGGCGATGTTCTCATGGCTCCAGGAGGGTCGTCTTTTGTAAGTTTCAGGTAATTGCTTTGTGAATTATAAAACCACTTTTTTAAAAAGCGAGTGAATGTGTGATTATAAATGCAGTTAATGTGATTTTTTAATACCCGCAACCACTTGCTCTCCAAATAGTGAGCTGAAATGCAGGTATAACGAACACATTTCCAGATCCTGACTGAATCCTCAGAACTGGAGGCTGGATGTTTAGCCTGCATCTAGCATATTTTCCCAATTTCTCTTATGGATCATTTATCATTAATTCCTTCTGGGGTTTAGATTGATTGTTTTTAAACTGTTTATTCATTTTCATCTTTTCAATTGCATTGTCTTTTAGGCCTTTGATTAGTTTATGTAACTATTCATTTCTCCACTGTGTGCTTTTTTGTTGTCATGGTGTAAAAGGTAAAAATAAACATGATGTCCATGCCTCGGGGCAACTAAGCTCATGTACCACGGCTATTGAGCCTGTGCTCTAGAGCCCAGGAGCTGCAACTATTGAAGCCTATGATCCCTAGGGCCTGGGCTCCCCAACTAGAGAAGCCACCTCAATGAGAAGTTCATGCACCACAACAAACAATAGTTCCCACTTGCCGCAATTAGAGAAAGCCCACCCAGCAACAAAGATCCAGCACTGCCAAATAAATGCATAAAAATAAACATTAAAAAAATAAAAACATGATTTCTAAGACTTGAAAAAACAAACACATCACCACAGCAAGTGTCCATGGATCTAGATTTGGGACTAGACACTGGCTCCAGGCACCAGAATGCTGAGTTTGGCGGCCCCCATCTCACAGATACTTCTGAACACTGCTGGCTGCAACACCCCGTATTTGCATGACCTTTCTTGCCAGCAAAACTCAGCTAACATCAGCAGGCCAATGGCTTCCAAATCTTACGTATTGGCAGAACCTACCTGTACCTAGGATTCTAACTGCTACTGAGTCTGGGACATAAAATTTCAACTTTTTAGATTCTGAAAGGAATGGATTGCAAGTCTCGATGGACTACATCCAACACAGATGGACTCAGAAGTAGAAACTTACATATTTAGTATTGGGAAGACAAGAGGGTTCCTATCAGATTTGCTATTACTATTTTTCCTGCTAAAAAAAAGGGTGAAGTCAACTGTTGCTGAGTGTTTTAGTTTCTCTAGTTATTGTGAAGACAGCAGCAGTGAACTGGCCAGACTGACATTTATTGAAGTCTCTCTTAAGGCTGGCAGTCATGAATTTGTAGAGAACAGTCTGTCCCATTGGGTACTTTCTCCAATTGTGTTTGGCTCTTTAGGTGTCGGCAAAGGTAAAAAAGGAGCAGTTGGATTCATCCAGGGTTGAAATTCTTACGAAATCCACATGACAAAAAGACAAGACAGCAAAGGAGATCAAGGTTGTTGTAAGGGTGTTGTTAAAATTATGGATCATGAAAATAAACAGCGTCAAAAATGAAGAAAGGAGAACTATTAGGAAATAGAAAAGTCAGTGGCCTGGCGGTGCTGAAAACATGGAAAGACACCACAGAGGAGCTGGTGTCTGCAAGCCGAATTTTGTTTTCAGGTATCCTCATTCACACACAGGCTAATCCTGGGTATCCCCTAAACAGGGTAAGGCTCTAACTTAGAGCCCTAAGTTACCCCTAAACTCAGGGGTAACGTCTAACTTAGAAGGTAGAAAAACATAACTGTGGTCCTATAGCTTTGATGCCACAACTAGGTTCATTCACATCTCTGCTTCACCACTTGTAAGATGCGTGACAACGGGCAATTCATTTACCCTGAAACTCCGTTTTCCCTTCTTCAAAAGTGGGAGAAAAATATTATCGTATGATGGTGAGAGGACTTGAGATAATGCACGTTAAGTGGTTAACACAGTGCCTGGCACACAGGAAGCGCTGAACACGTAGAAGCTGCTACTTTTACATTTGAAACAAACCAAGGAAAGGTTACAATGAGAGAAATTCTAAGCGCAGAGTACTGTTTTACAGAACTTCTGGATTGCTAAGCGCATGCGCCTGTCCACGAGCTACGCCTAGGACAAGCACTGCGCATGCGCCGGAAGTGGCAGCCGGGAAGCCAGCGAGGTCGGTTCCGCCCGACTCTAACATGGCGGCGCCCTTTGTCTGCTCTGAAGTGCCGTCCCCGGCCTTCTCGCGGCCGTGATGCACCTCCCTCTGCGGTGGGGTCCAGGACATGGCAGGTGAGGGTCAGCAAGCACCCGGGGCCAGGGGAGTCCCAGGAGTCGGGTGGAGGCGGCGGAGGATGGGACGCGGCGGGACGCCGGGGACGGTTGTGTGGGGGAGGGGAGGGAAGTGGACTGGGACGGGAACCCGGACTGAGGGGACCCCGCACAACATGAGGGTGCGGGACAAATGGGTGGGGGGCGCTGCCCGGCGAGCGGGCGGATAGTGGGCGGGCGGACTGGACTCGCCGTCCCGGCGAGGGAGCGCGAGTCGCCTCCGGGCTGGGTGACACCCCAGCTGGTAGCATCTCCGCCCCCGCCGCCCGGCTGTCACCGCCCCTTGACCCCGCGCGCCGCTGCGGGTGGGCGTTCTGAGGCCGAGAGGTGGCGGGGTGCCCGCGCAGCTCACTTTGGCCGGCGGGGCCGGAGGACACATGCCTGTGAGGGCCTAGGAGGAGTTTGTCGTGGTGGAGACCCATACTGCCCCCGTATGATATCATTTCATTCATTCATTCGTTCCACAGACGGTGGTTCAACTCCTGATGAGTTCTGAGGATGGTGCGAGTGGTTAAAAAGTGTAGGCTGTGGAGCCAAGCAGCCGGGTTTGAATCCTGTCTCGGTGCTTGCCAACAGTGTCCTTAGGCACGTTGGTTCCTCGCCTTCTGCCTCGGTTTTCTTATCCTTAAAGCAGGGTTGCGAATAAAATCTGCCTCCTAAAACTATTATAAAGGTTAAATGAGATAATCGGTGTAAAGTGCTGAGAAGGCCTGCTGGCACAAAGTAAATGCTGTGTGTGCTTGTTGATGTTATTTTTTGTATCATCGTCATCACTCAGAGCTCAGAAACTCACGTGGGGGACATACTGAAATGTAGGCAATTCTGATATGATGGAAAAAAAGCAGGAAACACTGCGTAGAGGCACCTCACACAGTTGAGGCAAATCCAGGAAGGCTTCTGTTCCCCAGGAAGCAGAACTGGAGGATGCTTGGAGAGTGCAGGCAGAAAAGGGGAAGAGTATTCTCAGTTGAAGATGAAATGTGTGAGAAAGCTGCCTAGGGACAGAGATGAAAGACCCTAGTGTGTGGTCTGGTCCTCAGGGGTCTTGTTTTGGGGAGGGAAAGCAGCCATGGGGCATGAGGCATCTTTAGTTTGCCAGCCACGGATCCTGTAGTGGAATTTCCCCTAGGGAAGTTTTTAAACCTAGCCGTGGACTTGCAGTTTTAGGTTAATGAGAATGCATTTAAGAATCAGATTTGTGGATTAGAAAGATCACGCTAGTGAAGACTGTATTAAAGGGAATGGGCCTGGAGGCCAGTTAAAAGGCTACTAGAACTGGGGAGATGAGAGATGACCGTGGTCTTGAGTTAGATTAGGCAGAAGGTGGGGAGAAATGTGTTGAAGGTAGACTTGACCAAAGTTGGTGATGACTTAGGTGGGGGATTTAGAGGCCAGGGGAGAGGTCAGGGTTGGCTCTGAATTTTTGACTGGTGGATGGTGATGCTGCTCAGTGGGATAGGGAACAGGATAGGGAGGGGATTTAAGAAGAGAGGATATATTTTGTTTTGAACATGTCTGTTGTAAGTGCCTGTAAAACATTCAAGTGGAACTGTCCATTGGTGATCTAGCATCCATCAAAAGTCACTACAGTTGTGGGAAGGGATGTGTCACCTGGGTTGAGGGTCTGGAGTGGGAAGCACGATATCTGGGACATACCTGGGGAATGCTAGTGCTGTAAGACTACTTGGGCACAGCCTGATTGCTTTTGCTTGCAGGCTTTCCCGAGTGTAGGGGGCTTTCCTGAGTGTAGGGACTGGGACTGGGTTTATTCATCTTTGTGTCCCAGCTGTCCAGCACAGGGTCTGGCAGGCAGCAGCTCAGTCACAATCCAGTGTAACATTTATTGAGCGCTGCCTGTGTGCCAGACTCTGTGCTCAGTGCTCTGCATGTGCCTGTATTTGGTGGATATAAGAGCAGCTCTTAGAATCCTGCAGGTTCTCATCAGATTTTCCACTTGGTCTTTGATTCAGGTAATGAGCTGGAGGAGGAGAGTCAAGCTGGAGTTTCCCCAGACAAACTGTCGGAACAGAGTAGCCTGGGCTACTTGGAAATCTGAGGTATGTCTGTTAAGACTCAAAGATGAAACAAACCAGGAGGTCAGTTTGTTTGTCCCTCTTCTCTAGACGCAGCGTGCTTCAACTCACCCTTTCAAGACGACTTTTTTAAAGCGTACAGTAATGACAGAATCCTAGTTAGTTTGGTTGGGAGAATGTTGATAATATTGTTGTCATTTTGCTGACAAAGATCATGCTAGATTAATCCCTGGGCAGTGTTCACACTTTGTTTTAATTAAGTACAATCTAAAGTGCTCCAAAATATAGTGGCTGAAAGGAAATAGAAATTTATTCCTGCCCCTTAACAGTCAGAGTAGGTGGTCCAGAACTGGTCAGGGCAGCTCACTCTGTTCTGCGAAGTCATCCAGAAGCAAGGTTCCATTGATCAACTGGCTCTCCTTTCTCAAACCCTGGTTTCCATCTCATGGACTGAGAAGGCTGCTCTGGATCCTGCCATTGTGTATGCACTCCGTGTGGCAGAGAGGGAAAGACAGAGTAGGGAGCACATACCCATTCCTTTTAAGGTTCTAATGTTTAAAGATACATACTTTTGTACAATCTGTCCCCAAACCCCAGCCTCTGGTGTACAACCAAAGGAGGAATCACGATTGTTTCAATGCTGGAGGGAAGCTGGCTGAGAGAACCTGTTCTGTTCCCAGTGTGACTGGATTGCTGACTCTGATGGTTAGGCCTGAGGGAAGTCCACTCACTGGTGAAACAGGGTGGGGTGTGTTCCCTGGGCCCCTGGGCCCCTAAGGCAGGCTCCTCTGGCTTTGGGTCGTTCGTGTTTCTTGGGTCCAGGGAGTCCAGGCTTGCTCACACAGCCAGTGTTTCTGTGCCTGATGTGTCAGACACTGCACTGGGGGCTCGGGTTGAGGAGATAAGGGAGATGGATCCTGGGATCAAGGTGCTCTTAGCCACATGGGTAATCACAGTATGGGCTCCCCAGTTGGCTCAGTGGTAAAGAACCTACCTGCCAATGCAGGAGACACGGGATCAATCCTTGGGTCAGGAAGATCCTCTGGAGAAGGAAGTGGCAATACCACTCCAGGATTCTTGCCTGGAGAATCCCATGGACAGAGGAGCTTGGCGGGCTACAGTCCATGGCTACAGTCCATGGGGTTGCAAAGAGTCGGACACAACAGAACAACTAGACAACAAAAAACAGAATTTCTGGGGTATGAGGTGCTGAACTTCTAAGTCAAAGATACTTGAGCCTAACATACCTGGTCTTTATACTTACTAGCTGTGTGCCTTTGGATGAAATAAAAAAGGCTTTACTTGACTTCTCTAAGCCTCCATTTCCTCGGGGGTGTAGTGGGAATAATGATGACCTCATGCTAGCTTTATTGGGTGGAATTATTAATGAGGTAATGCATGTAAAATGCTTTATCTAGTCTTTGAGTCCACAGTTAGTATCTAGTGTTACTATGTGTTAGTTAGGAGAGGATGACCTAACAACAACCTCTTATGAGGGTCAAGAAAGAAAGTGTGCAGAGTTGAGGAAGAAAAAAATGCTTAGGGTAGGAAAGTAACTGACGCTCTCATGTCTGACCCAGTTCCTGTCCCAGACAACTGTTCACCATGTCTGTGTGTCCTTGTGCCAGGCCTTCTGTGCACATGCATGCCTGTAGGTGTGTACAGGAGAGACATTTTAAAGTCTTGATTTTGTTGCACATAAACTGAGCCTTCAGTCTAGAATGCCAAAAGGGCAGCCTCTGTGGGCAGAGCTTCAGTTTGAACAGTTTGCCACAAAAAAGACCAGGTGTCCCACTCTCTACCGTCCTGGAATTCCCCCAAGGATGGTGCCACATGGGTGGCACAGAGGTTCTCAGACCTGGTGTCTGGCAGGGTAACAGACACCACCAAAGGGCGGGACTCCAACCTCACAGGAAGCAAAAAACTCCAAGTACATTTTGTGCACAAAGTTACAAAGAGTAGGCATTTTAGCACCCAAGTGATTTTAGCATTTGCTCCAGGTATGTGTGTTCAGTGTCAGCATAGGTGTCTGGCACTCTCAGAGGTCCTCATGGGTATCAATAGCTTAACAGTCTGAGGGCTACCTACGGTTGACCTCAATGATGTAGTCACAGATGCATACAGAAAGCGAGGGCTCTTACATTCACACCTGCTTGTTAGGAATTGGAGAGATCAGCCTTGAGCTTCAAAGGAAGGAAGCAGAGGGCATGGTTAGAGTTGAGAGTTGCTCACTCGTGTTTAAAGAGCAGCATGCAGAGCCTCAGAGGTGGCAGTTCCTGCTGAGAGTCTAGACCCAGCCTGAAAGCAGCCTTGGTGGGTTCGTTGTCACATCAAAAATGTACTCAGCTTCTGGTCTTAAAAGGTCTGGCAGTAGAACCTGTTCCCCCTACCCCACCCACCCCACTTCCTCTACTGACCCGATTCATCTAAGCAGTACCTTTCCTGTCCAGAGTAGAACACTCCAGGGCCCAGTGGGAAGTTGTCTCCAGCTCAGAAGCCTGGGTGGTGAAGCATTTCTCATTTCTGTAGTCTCAGGGCTGGGTGGGCCCCTGTCAGGGACTTTCCTGGTTGAGTGTAACTCAAGTCAGCTGCCCAAGATAATGCTTCAAATCATGGCCTAAAGTCAGAAGTAACATTGTTTAGTTTTGTAAGTTGTCTTGTTAAATATTGAGTAGATACAAAAGAATATATACCACCTGAAGGATAATCTTACAAGGAACACCCATATACCCATCACCTCCTTTACACTAACGAATGTTACGTTACCTTTGAAGTGCCCCTCCCTGATCCTGTCCTCTCCCTCCCCAGTAATCACTGGATTTGGCATTTACTGTGTTCATGCTTTTCTTTTCTTTTTTAGTGTTTTTTCTTTTTTGGCCCCATGGCTTGTGGGATCTTAGTTCCCTGACCACGGATTGAATCCAGGCCGTGGCATTGCAAGTACCAAGTCTTAACCACTGAATCGCCAGGGAATTCCCATCTCTTGCCTTTCTTTATAGTTTTACCACATGTGTTTGTGTTGCTAAGCAATGTTATTAGTTAATTTTGCATGATTTTGAACTCAGTACATTATCTTGTTTTTTTCAGTGATCTAAATTTTTTGCTTAACATGTGTTCTTGAGATTAATCTGTGTTGCATATAGGTGTATTTCATTTCACTGGTGAGTTATGTTCCGTTGTATGAGAATTTACGTATCCTTTCTATTGTTGATGGACATTTGTTTTCAGTATTTTGCTGAGACAGACAGTGATACTGTGACCATTCCTGGGGCATGCGTGTGCAGCCTATCAGCATACACCCCGGGAGGAGGACCGAATCCCAGGGTATGTGCATCTTCAGTTTGACTAAATACAGTGATACCAAGTCATCTCCAGAGTGGTTTCCCCAGTTTACTCAGCTGGCAATTCTGCCTGCTTCACATCCTCCGAACAATGGTATCATCAGATTTAAGACTTTATACTAATGTGTTGGAAGCTCAGTGGTACCGCACGTGGTTTTGATTTGCATCTTCATGATTATTAGTGGGTTGAGCATCTTTTCATGCACTAATGGATCATTCACCTTTCAGCTTCTCTGAAAAAATGGCTTAAATCTTTCTGCTCATTGTTTTATTGAGTTGTCTTTTTATTATATGGAACCTTTTCTCCCTGTTTTTTTTGTTTTGATGCTAATCCTTTGTCAGTTAGATGTGTTGAAACTATCCACCTCCAGTTTGTGGCTTGTCTTGTCACTCTAGTTTATTTTTAATGAACAGAAATTCTTAGTTTTAATGTCATTTATTGACTTTTTCTTAATAGTTAGCACTTATTTAAGAACTTTCTCCCTGCTTCAGGTTTCTAAAGGTATTTCCCCGTGTATTGTCTTCCAGATGTTTTATGATTCTTACCTTTTACTCAAAGGTCTTTAGTCTGTTCATAATAATTTTTGTGTATGGTTTGAGATAGGAGATAAGTTTTTCCCTTTTTTAAATAAACACATCAAATTAAGCCTGTACTATGTATTGAAAAATACATTCCTTTCTTGTGGATCTTTAAAGTCAGCAGTAACCACTATCATACATCAAGTGTCCACAAGTGTATGGGCCTATTTCTGGGCTCTTTACCATCTATTTCTGTCTGTGTGCCAATATCCCACCAATTTAATTTCTCAGTTCTTTTACTTTTTTTTTTTTTTCTATTTTTTGTTTATGTATTTGGCTGCACCAGGTCTTAGATGCAGCACACAGAATCTTTGATCTTCTAGTTGTGGCACATGGGATCTTTACTCGCAGCTTGCAGACTCTTAATTGCAGCATGTGGGATCTAGTTCCCTGACCAGGTGATCAAACTCAGGTCCCCTGCATTGGGAGTGGGAGTCTTAAGCCACTGAGCCACCAGGAAAGTCCCTCTAAGTTCTTTTTTTTTTTTCTCTAAGTTCTTATATAACAGTTCTTGGTATCTGGTAAGGCTTTGGCTTTCTACCATTTTCATTTTGGATTATGCTTATCAAATTCCATAAAAATTGTTGGAGTCTTTTATTAGAATCACTTTGAATTTTATTAGAATTGAATTTATTACATGTCAGTTTGGATAGAGGTAATGTTTTTATGATATTGATCTTCTGATTCATGAACATGGCGTATCCCTCAATTTACATGACTTGCGACATTCTAATTTTGTGAAGTGAAGGTCGCTCAGTTGTGTCCAACTCTTTGCGACCCCATGGACTATACAGCCCATGGAATTCTCCAGGCCAGAATACTGGAGTGGGTAGCCTTTCCCTTCTTCAGGCAATCTTTCCAACCCAGGGATCAAACCCAGGTCTCCCTCATTGCAGGTGGATTCTTCACCAGCTGAGCCACAAGGGAAGCCCAAGAACACTGGAGTGGGTAGCCTGTCCCTTCTCCAGCAGATCTTCCTGACTTAGGAATCGAACCAGGGTCTCCTGCATTGCAGGTGGATTCTTTATCAACTGAGCTATCAGGGAAACTTTAGTCAGTGTCTTTACACTTTACTCCCAAGCAGTTAGGACCTTATCACACTTT